ACCAATCACACGTAACTCCGGGTCCACTACTGATGTGGGTTGTGAGGGGTCGCCCATACGACAGGTGCCTACCGGCGCGTTGGCTGTTATAGTCAAATACCTGGCTAAGCACTCGTTGTATTTGTTAATATTCATCAAGTCTTTGTCACATTCGGTAGGCTTTCCAAAGGCGTACACATTAAAGGCGCGAAAATATTTTGTTTGAATGATATTCTTAACGAATTTCAATGCCTTAACCATAGCCTCCACGTCCTCCCTATTGGAGTAGTATTTGGGATCAAATGCGAAAATATTTTGTTTGAATGATATTCTTAACGAATTTCAATGCCTTAACCATAGCCTCCACGTCCTCCCTATTGGAGTAGTATTTGGGATCAATTAGGGGCGAGACGTACGGGTCGTTTGACTGTAAACTAACGGTTCCCCGACTTTTCGGGTGCAATAGATTAGCGGTTATAGTAAACGAGTCCTTCTCCGAGTGTCGAGTGAAGTGTTTCCACACATTATCGCTAATTCCGTACGAATTCTTCAGCAAAAGACTATTATCTGACACTAAACTCCATGGTCTAAGAATGAGCTGAATATTGGGGGCGCTATTACTGGTGGACTTGTGTTCTGTATTGATATACGCCAGTGAATCTATGGGTGCTTTGGATAGGATTCCCTCCGAATAGAGTATGTATTTCATGAATTGCATGAAATCGAGATCTTTGTGAACGTTTAATGTCTTGCTTTTGTCGATAGTGTAAGTCAATTGAGTGCCGAACTGGTCCTGAAGGTTGTGGCCGACCGGTAGGTCCTTAACGACCGATATGTTTAGCTTTTTTAGCTGATCTTGAGGTCCAATGCCTGATAGTATAAGAATTTGCGGCGAATTGATGGCACCGGCGGCTAATATGACTTCATATTTGGCTCGTATTTGATATGTACTGCCGAAGCGGTCAAACTCGACAGCAGTGGCCGTCCCGTTGGTAATGATTAGTCGCTTAACGAACGCATACTTTATTAGTTCCAGGTTTTTAGTCTTTTCAATGGACGACAGGTATGTCTTTGCAGTCGATTCCCGTTTACCTATCCGTTCATAAATTAAATTAAATTTTTAAAAACTATTAATATTACTAAGATTCACAAAGTTTTTAATTTTTCAAGTATTAATCTAGTAATTATACTAAATTAAAGATGATTACTAGACTCGTGTTAGGGTTAGCATAGTTATTGAAACAATTTTAAGGTAACATGATTTTTATGTATAAAAAACTTTATTTTCTAAAACACTTAAATAAATATAAATTGATTGCAAACCTTGATTAATAGTGAACTGAGGGACACTGAAACCAATCTTAGCCCTAGTGTTGAGTTTCACAAAACTATAGTTCAATAAAATGCCGGAATGTATGAAAGCTCGCGATAGAGGACTGTTGACCGTCGGCACCGTTAGCTTACTTTCAACATTCTCGAGGAATTCCTTTTCGTCGTCAAAATGCTTACTTTTCGCATCCATTTCCTCAATAGGGAAGTGCTTTTTCACTGAATTCCAGTCCCAACCCTTTGCGCCAATCTTTTCCCAGCCGTTAAAGTCTTCGGGATTTCCATTCACATAAAGCATGTCATTAACAGCGGACGTACCGCCGACTACCTTTCCCCTCACCCATAGGCTCTGCTTGTTTGTCAGCCCTAAGCAGGCGTTGTCCTGCGGATGGGTCGCGTACTTCCAGTCCATGGATGTCTGCGGTAACACGTGGCTCAGCGCCGGTATCTCATTGAAAAAGTTTTCATTACCGCCCGCTTCCAGTAATAGTATCTTATATTTGGTTTTCGCCAAACGGTTGGCTATTATAGCGCCGGCAGATCCGGCGCCGACTATAATGTAGTCGTACTCTACTTTCCAGTGTTGATTGCGGACAGTCAGCTGATCGATGTTCGTGACCCACAGGTTGATGAGCACCGGTAGCAGTGCTGGTATCAGTGGTACGAATTGAAATAAGCCGGTGTTCAGTGTTGACATCACTGATGATAAACTCTTGGTCATTGTGACCGACATAGTGGTCGGGAATGGTATGAAATATTTGATTAAAGTATTATTTTATGATTTATTAATGAATTTAGTTTTTTAAATTGTTGAGCACTTTCAATGTGCTATTTATTAGTTTTCATTTTAATCATTAAATTATAATATGACGTGTATTTCGGTATATTTTTGTAAATTTTATTATATATTCAAATGCCATACGGTTTAGTACTGCAGACTAAATTATACGAAAATTATAAATAACATAAAAATTGTAAATAATGTATAAAAACACAAAATTTACTCGATGTTTTTTAACGTTAAAATTGAGTTTATTGAAATTAATAAAAATTAAAAGTTTACAGTTTATAACTTATACTTGTTTTATAATTTAAAAGCTTATTTTAGTAAAGGGTGGTGGTGTAGTGGTTAGAGTGTCTGCCTAACAATAGTTAAGTTAAGGTTAACCAAAAGGAGATGTATAGGGGGACATGAGATCGCACCCCAAGCGGGGAAAAATCATTTTTTATTAAAAGTTTTAAAAAATTTTATACTTATCAGGTTTTGTATAATTAGAAATGTTTTATTAAGATAATAGTTATTATTTAGGTCTAAGAGTTAATTAATAATGTTAAATGGTTTTTGAAAATGGTCCTGGTTTAACGGGCCATGAAGTAAATTAATTTACTTTATTGTTATAATTGCGGACTTTGTCTACCAGTAACCCAGTATAATTTTATTTATTGTTATATTCATTACATAACGTTGAAGTTATGAAATTTACCTTGAGGTTTTAGATGTACCTAAGCACAGTGTGCCTGTACAATGGCAAATACTGTATTGTGTGTACAGTATTAAATGGACTACAAATAATAAAGACAAATTAGTTGTTGATAATAATTATATTATTCAAATAAAATTGTATGAATGCTAAGTTGTTTGTTATTTGCTGTATTATGAATGTTGCAAAATTGTAATATTCATAAACCGAGTCCATAATGTTTATCATTACTAATACTAATAATACTAATAATACTAATAATTTATTAGCGATATAAACGCATTGAATAAAGAATTATAAAGAATTATATTCAATGAAAATGAATTCAATAAAAATAAAAATTAATTGTTATTATATTAATGGTCTATAATATTTGAAATAATTTGTTAATTATGATGTTATTGAAAAACTACAGTTTATTTAAATAGTAAGTGTTAACTATAAAATAATAATTTACTTATTTATGACAATGTTATTCATTAAATAGGTTATAAACAGTAGTTTAGCCATTTGTACAATTAATCTAGTACATTATATAAGCAAAAAAACAATATTTAGTTATAAAACTTTATTCATTGTACAATAAAAATTTGTGATCAAATATTAAGGATTTATTTTACTAAACATAAAGTAAAATAGATATAGTTTTATTAAATTAATACATGTTTTGCAAATTGAATTTACACTACATATGAATAAAATCAATGTGAACAGGGTTATACCAATTGAATTGGTAACCCGATCTGAATTGGTAACCCGATCAGCGAGCGATCAATTGTATAGAATTGGTTTATTGTACACTCGTAGCCAATATGAGCAAGGTGCTACCAGATCAGAGATTTATCATCCAAAACTCATCAACTCCATTTTGGGGATATATTTAACACAAATAACAATCGTGTCATTCATACCAAGCGAGTATCGCATTATCAAGATTATGTTTGGTGATCTGGCTTATTTACAGGGCATTCCTAAACACAAACATTTTTGTTATTAATTTCGTTATATTAAACATATTATTCCGTTTACTCTATTACTATAACTATAACTATAAGCGGGGTATAAAACCAACATTTCTAAGGCTATTTGATATGTTTGCCGGTTATATGACTCCCACACAGATTGGACTCACGAATAGACATCAAGTCTGGGATTTATGTCGCAAATCACGGCTTTTGTTCAAAATTGTCCGACAATTGCAAACTTATGGGGTATTCATGTATATAATATACATGCTATTATCATACTTCATAAGTTGTACGCTAATAGAAATCATTGTGTACGGTATCCAGCAAACTATCCTGCTCATATTTTTGGGCCATTACAGTGTGCCTCAGGTATTGTATCTATTGATTCACTTTTATCTCATTTGTCGCTGTTTTCGACACAAATTGCAGGCAATCAATGAAATCCTCAAAACATATGTGGAAACGGATTCCCGATTTAATACACTATTCATTCGGCAAACAATTCAATCGCTTAATATTATACTTGAGATCAATGAGTATAACACCACTTATTGGTGTCAATACATAGCGATTCTGTGGGTATTGCTGAGCAGTATTGGTATTACTATAACACAAATTATCGATAACCAAAAAATGCCCAGGACAATTAAGGTTGACCAGATGTCCATTAAAATATACATTGGAAACCAATGTAGCACATTTAGCGTTAAAAATTTATTTTAACGGGTGTTTTGCCACTGTCTCGAGTGCGTGAATTTTAGGGCTAATCCACACTCTGTCTACCCGTCCGCTACTAAGAGGTTATGATGGACTGAATCGGATGGCGCCAATAGGGCCGGTAGGTGTGGTAGGTTTGTGCCTAAGGTTCATGGGGAACACCATATTTGCGATCCCGAGTCGGGTACGGCTTATTGCTGTAATAAGTGGGGTATGTGTGGGTCGGGGCCACTGAACTGCCAGTGCGTCGGCTGCGTGCACTTCAAACGTAGGCCTACTTTACGGTGGAAATAGTTTTAAGTCTTTATTTATTATCATTTATTTTTATATGGTATTTACTTACCAAGGGTAGTTATTAATTCATGCTACAATTATAATAGAAATACGGTATTATAAATAGTAATGTTACAATAAAATTATATCAATCTTAATACAATAGTTTAAAATAAAATATTAAATAAATTAAAGTTAGAAATGCTATAATATTCAAAAATAAAATGTACTCAATTATCTGAAAAATATTGTTTAAATTTATATTAATCATTTTAGTTTTATATTCTAAACAATAAACATGATCATTAGTATACTGCAAATGACAATTAGCAACTTAATTTAAAATAACTTATTATTGTAATATAATAAAATTCATAATGTACTTTCAAATACAAATATAACATTGAAATTACTTTGAATAATAATGAATCATTAAGAATAATATTCAATGAAAATGAGTTCAAAAAATAATAATTAATTGTTTCTACAATAAAAGCCTGTAATTATAATTAACAAAAACAATAATTAACAATAATATGTAATAATTTGCTAATTATGATGTTATTGAATAATTGTAGTTTATTTAAATAGATATTCATAGTTTACATTACAGTCCAACAGTACTAACAGGTCTACATTCTGTATAAGTGTAGCATTCAATATGAATAGAATTATCCCTGTTGAATTAATAACAAAATCAGCCAGCAATCAATTGTATAGAATTGGCTTATTGTACACTCGTAGCCAATATGAGCAAGGTGTAACCAGATCACAGATTTATCATCCAAAACTTATCAACTCTATTTTAGGGATATATTTAACACAAATAACAATCGTGTCATTCATACCACACGAGTATCGCATTATTAAGATTATGTTTTGTGATTTTGCTTATCTACAGGGCATTCCTAAACACATAAACACTTGTTTTATTAATTTCATTATATTGAACATATTATTTCGTGCCGTCTATTACTATAACTATAAGCGGGGTATAAAACCCACATTTCTATCGCTGTTTGATATGTTTGCAGGTTATATGACTCCCAAACAGATTGGACTCACGGATAGGCATCAAGTTTGGGATTTATGTCGCAAATCACAGGTTTTGTTCAAAATTGTGAGGCAATTGCAAATTTACGGAGTGTTCATTTATATAATGTACACGCTATTATCATACTTCATAAAATGTACACTAATGGAAATCATTGTGTACGGTATCCCGCAAACCATCCTGTTCACATTTATGGTCCATTACTGCATACCACAGGTGCTGTATCTATTGGTTCACTTTTATCTCATTTGTCGCTATTTGCAACACAAATTGCGGGCAATCAATGAAACCCTCAAAACACGTGTGGAAACTAATTCCCGATTTAATCCGCTATTCATTCGGCAAACAATTCAATCGCTTAATGATATTACAAATGAGATCAATGAGTATAACACCACTTATTGGTGTCAATACATTGCGATTATGTGGACATTGTTGAGCATTACTGGCATTACTATAACATATATCACATTGTTTATAAACATACCATTCATTATACGACTGAGTAATATCTATGCGGTTGGCCTCACATTACTGCACCTCATATTTGTGGGCCTAATATCAGCCGCCGTTAACCAGAAGACATACATAACGTATAAACTGTTGAATAGATATATCTCTTAACTTTTAACCAAAAGGCATCATTGGGGAAACTATAGATAGTCGATATTAATCTTATACTACGTGCTTACAGTTGCAAAAACTTGTCAAACTTAGCTTGCTTACTCATTCAAAATATGATTAACATACTCATTTTCTAAAAAAAAATTTTTGTATTTATTAAAAACAGAAACTTAATTAAAAATAAATGTATATAATTACTCAAACATTTGGTGCTATATTGAAAATGAGTATGTTAATCATATTTTGTATGAGTAAGTAAGCTAAGTTTGACAAGTTTTTGCAACTTTGAGCACGTAGTATAAGATTAAAATGTACAGGTATCGATTAATATCGACTATCTATACTTTCCACAATGATGCTCTATCGTTAAAAGTTAAGAGATNATATTGAAAATGAGTATGTTAATCATATTTTGTATGAGTAAGTAAGCTAAGTTTGACAAGTTTTTGCAACTTTGAGCACGTAGTATAAGATTAAAATGTACAGGTATCGATTAATATCGACTATCTATACTTTCCACAATGATGCTCTATCGTTAAAAGTTAAGAGATATAATAAAATTTAAATTACTATTGAGAAATAAATGTAATGTTATATAAATTGCACAATTAATAAAAACACTTATCTATATATAAATTTTTATACCTTTAAACATCTCTTTTTCCTTATGTGCTAATTCCTCGAACTTTGTACCTTGTACAATTGTCATTGTTATGACTAGACATATCAGTATCAGTATCAGCGTGGTATTCATCATTTTCATTGTTATTTATGATGTGTTTTAAAGAAAATAAATAATAACTTATTTATGAAATAAAACTTCAAATATGTTTTTAAAATTAAATTAACTCAGTTTAATTAAATTTTTATTAATTAATTTTGGACAATTTTAATTATTTTTGTTTAAACATTTAAAATAAATTATTCCGATAATAATAATATTTTTAAAACCTTATTACCCGGTCTTTTATAAACCGCGTAGACTTATCATCCTATTAATAAGAAAATTAAATTTACGAGAATCCTGTAACAGGAGGGGACAGGAGGGGGGAGGGGTGACAGAAATAGCAAGAATTGATGATGAGATGGTATGGGAAGACTACTAAGATTTAAGTGATAGGATTAAAGCTATTATCAAACCTGTAGTATAATTATCCATTCACATTTTAAATTATATTATCTGTTACCAAGTAAAATTGACTTTATTATTTATGTATTTTTACCGTATGATTAATTTATTGATAAGTAAATATAAGTCATGTAAACTATTGTATCCGGTATATCAATAGATTATTGCACAAATCTACGCAAGTTAACTTTAAAACGTATTACTGTTGTATTATATTTCTGTAAGCTAGCTGGTTATTTGACTTAATTAAATTAATTTTAAAAATCAATTGTTTAAGTATATGTGTGAATATCCTAAACTAAATATATGTTTTTGTTTTGATAAAAATGTATTTTGCTCAAATAAATAAATAACAGATCAATTAATCTTGTATCAATTAGACCAGGAGAGATTTGTCATAATTTTGTTGATAATCATTTATATGTAAAAGCCAATAACTCATAACAGTAGCTACAACTAATATCGGTTGTGCTAGATCATACGGTAAATAACCTGGTGGTCAATGGTACGAGACATACGTGGTTTGTAATTATAAGCCAGCTGGTAATATTGTGGGTGACCATACTAAATGGTTCAAAGAGAATGTGCTAGGACCCTGAGATAATTAAAAATGCTAGAATAATTTCCAACAACTGTACTGATACATATTTTTATTATTAAATTTATTACTTCTCTTGATAAATTTAATTAGTCAAATAAAATAATTATTTAAATAAATAATTAATAAATTGTAAAAAATCATAATAGATAAAATATTGATAGATTAATTTGACTGCCAATAATTTTTTACATACTTTACATTTGATGCTAGTAAATATTTAATAAATATCCATTTACAGTTTAAATTACAGTACTTTTTGTACAGAACATAAAGCTAAATAATATTATTCAACGTAACTAATTAAAATATTTATTTAAACTTGATTGTTTTTAGTGCAAATACACAGTTGAATAAATAATATGAAATAATTCTAGGAATAATATATTTAATTATTTTTAAAAAACTTTTTCTCATTATACTACTTAAATCAGTGTAAAAAATAAAATTAATTTATGTACAAAGTATATTATTAAATTTATAAATTACTTTAATATGTATATGTTTATGTTTATACTGGCTACAGTTCATATAACAAGTAATTAATTATAATCATATTTATTTAATATAATATTTATATATTTTTACATTAATTCATAGCATGTTTTGCTCGCAATTCAATGCCTGATAAATCTGATAACGATTTTCAAAATGATTGCTTAAAAACTAGTAATCATTTACGACATAAACACCATTCACCAGCATTTCACATTGACCCTGCTGTTTGTATACTTATCGCAAAATTTATAAACTAGTTAATTTTTAAAATAATTCAGAAACTTTAGATAGTATCATACGCCAAGTCCAGGTGCCAGTTAATTTCAAAACAGCATGGTTTAGCACATGGACACGCTGGCTTACATGGCCATGGTGAAAACTTGTACTGGGGTGGTCATTCACACGATCATTTGTATAACTGTGCTAGAGCAGTTAATGCTTGGTAGCTAATTTAATTAGTATTTTTTGCAATATAAAATATACTCTAAATTAAATGTTTTATTTTATTATGATAGGTACAATGAGGTGTCCAGGTACAATTATGATACCACAGGTTTCTCACATTCAACTGGACACTTTACCCAATTAGTATGGAAATCAACTATTAGGGTAGGGTGTGCCAGGTGCGCCGGTAGGGAGCATGGTGGTAAATGGTACGAGACATATATTGTGTGCAATTATCAACCTCAGGGTAATATTATTGGTGGTAATAATATAAAATTTCACCAGAATGTACTAAGACCTTGAGCAGTTGTTATAATAAATAATTAATAAATTAATAAAGTTAGTTATATTATATTTGTCATATCATACAAACTATAAAATTTCATATTGTTTGTTAGTAATTTAAAATAAAAGTCTATTTAAATTATAAAGGTAAGTGGTAAAATGGACTAAAATGGAAAGTTAATTTAATTGCTATAAACGTATAATAGTTATACGACTTTTTAAATGAAATGCATAAATCATTGAATACATGAATAATGAATAAAATCTTTTGAATAATTGAGTACTGAATGAATGGTATGAATGAAATCACACGAATGACTCCCATCCCCATCATTTTAATTTTAGATTTACCTTGAATACAATTAACTTCAAAATCTAATTGTTATTAACAAAAATTACTATATATAATAGATGAATAATAAATAACAGATTGTGTGTTATATCATATAACTTATATGCAATAAATATAAAATTTAAAATTATTTTAATTATACAAAAACATTAACAGAGTAGGGTATTTTAAAACTAAATAAATTTCCATTAAACACAATATCAAAATATAAAATATTACAATTAATGAAAATTTTACAAATTAACATGTTTAGTTTATATTGAATTGATTAGTACTTGTGGCACATACACTTGATATGCATAATAAAAAACAACATAGCTATGAGTTATAATAGAAACTGCATGCTTATGAATTAAAAACGTTAATATACACCAGATGATACGACAGGTCCCGGGTACTGATAACTCATATTATTTGTATATGGATAGTCGACATTTGATACCGGTATCTGTATAGGTGTTGGTGCGTGTGGATAGGCACCAGTCATGTTAGGGTTGAATAAAATTGGGTTTGACATGGGTTGAGCCGTTATCACTAAATGCCTTTCCCCCTGGTATTTAGCATAAAAGCAGCATGACATTATAAAACCGATGATCGAGACCCCGGTTATTGCCGAACCAATTATCAATAGTATTCCCCCTAAAAAACCCAATAAACATAAAAACTACTATACAAATAAAATGCATGTTACAGTGGACATACCTACAATTCTGGGACCTTTGGCAAAGTCACTCCTGGCCTACGGGAAAGTAATTAAAGTTATTTGTACGAGTTATTCATGAAGGGAATGGTAGGAAAATACATCGTTAAAGAATTTGGTGTCGAACTCCTTGGAGGGCGGGCTGTCATTGCCGGCCACGAAACGGGCTATACTTCCGGCGATAAGTAGAACGACGCCCAGAAAGACGAGACAACAGGAGGTCTGACACGAGATGATCGCCGGCACGAGTTTAGGCGGCGCCGACCGGTACGAGCGCCGGAAGTGTAGATGTTGTGACATTAATTGGCAATGTCCTGGATTATATAAATGTATAGAAATATATAAAGTTACTAACTTAATAATTTAAATATTTTATTTAAATTAGTTTTATTATTTTATTTAGAAGTTTTTAAAACTATAGTTATACAAAAATAGTTATATTTTCTAATAATTTTTAAATAGATTGCAATAAATACTTACCCAGTTTATTAATTATTAATTTTAGACTGCTGATATTCACTACTCAGTAAATATTTCTTTATGAGTTTAATGTTTTTAAATACAATAATATATAATACAAAAAATTAAATGTCAAAGTATTGGTGACGTTATGCCATAATGTTTTCGACAAATTTTGTGTTACAGTTTTTAAATATGGTAAATATCATAAAACATTAACATTTACAAAATATGACTAACAATGCGTTCCCTTCAAGTGTTATTCAGTTAATTAAATAAAATAAAGTGGATTATACTCGTATGGTATGGTATAATAGGACTGTCCAGGTCCGGTAATCTAGCGGAATGTCCTAGGTGTCCAATTTTGTGATTATATCGGTCGACGCGCTATACATTTTTGCTATAAAAGCGTATTAAACTACTCATTCTATATGAGTCAACGTTTCAATACTATGAATGAGTGTATTTCACAGCAAAAAGTATAGAGTTTTTATAGCGCGTCGACCGATATAATCACC